CAACCAGGGGCCAATTCACACAGTGAGCCCATCGGAAGAGTTTTACCAGTGGAGAAACCACTGGGTTTTCACCTCCGGCTGGTATCGTCTTAGGGTCCTCACGAACCCACTAGGGGGGAGTGATCTGTAGCGTCACACACTTCCCCAAAATCAATAGCCTAGGGTTTGACGACTTTCGACATTGATGCTGACCTTGATGGTTTGACTGGACTCGCTAAACTGAAGGCACCCGGTCTAGCATCCCCGCCATTTGGCACGCTGTCGTGTTACGTTGCACTGCTCGTATTCGACTCTAGTCAGTTAGTTGGAACGCATCAGTGTCTTGTCACAACCACCCAAACATACTACTCCATCCGACCATGCTATCGTGTTCTTCCCTGTTCTCGTATTCGTGTGTATATAACAAGTCCGAATAATTAGTGATTGGTCTTTGCGTCTGTCAAGTTCGCACCAGGACAAATCCTAAAACCTTTCAGAGGGGTGTGTTCTGACTGAGGTTTACTATCTGAAAGGTCTATGAGAGCTTTTGGAGGAGAACTTGCCACGCGCTCGGCGTTGAGGAGGTGGACTGCAGGGGGAGGTTCCTGTGAGTTTGCAAACACTCCACATTGGCCAAGGTCATGTTCCTCACGATCAGTCAATAGGGGAGCCAACTTCCTTAACGTTGAGGAGTATGAGCGATCTAAGATTAAGGTTATCGTCTGTCTTTTGCAGCTTATTCCCACCTATGAGTACAGACTCAGATTTCTGACTAGCCTTTTGGGAGTGACTCGAAAGACCTGAAGTACCGGCTGTGGGAGTTTTCTTGATGATTGAACAAGGCTGGTGGTGGAATGCAGGTGGCTTCTGCCCTGAGTTACAGGTGGTGGGGCCAAGATCTGCTTTTTCGGAGCGTTTTTCACCTGAGTAGGAGGGGCAACGTTCAACTTATAGTAATCGTTACTATGCCAGTCTTACGATCGTTACGTAACGTTCCATTTTTAACTGATCTGACCCGCCTACATTCCTTCAAACCTTTCTCTCGGCGCTTATCGAGCATGAGATTCTCTTTCATCACTGAGGGGATCTGCTTCAAAGGCATGCTAACGGGGAAACATTCCGTGACAGTGATGAATTCACCACTTCCCTTACTGCTAACTTGAGGGATCTTTATATGACTATGAGACTTCTCTAGAGTGAGGCTGGTTGTGTAGAGATCTCAGTCGCAAGGTGGTCGGAGTTCTGTCTCACTAGCTCTAGGCCTATTTGGTACTTACTTTTGGACTCACAACATGGACAAAAATACCAATCACCATCAAAAGGGCTATTAAGCAGTGCTTCATGATAACCAGATGGCTGGCTGGAATCACAGGAGCAGTGAGTACACTGAGAGCAAAGCTCACAACCCATCACCTCAGCTGAGAAGCTGACATTTCTGCGACAAACCACACAGACATCCTTTGAAACTGTCATTAGGCTGTTTAAAGGGTAGAAGAATGTTCAAGGAGTTATGAACCTCAACACAGTAAATATGACAAACTAATCAAAATTTGTCAGACCCTACTGTCCTTTTTGAAAAGCGCGTGACGGACGACGATGTCTCAGAGTACTTGGACGAACTGAGGGCACCTAGTGATGCACAGCGCCGTCTCCAAAAGAGTAGGTCCTGCGCCTCAAACCTCCTAGCGGTCGGTGACAGTTGGACGGCATGCTGGGACCTCCAAGTCCCTGTTCATGTGCGGTTTTTCTGACTACCAACACAGCCACACATACCATTCTCACTTTCCAAATATCAAGGCTGGGTAACAGCAGTCAAGTGCTTTTGTGATCACAGGGCCGTTTGGATATCACAGAATTCTGCGAAAAATAACAGGGTCTGCTTGACTTGGAGGTCATCATTTGGCGTATCACAAAGAGCGGTTCTGGACCAGCCAGTGTCTCCTATTTTCGTGAATCATCTCTCATTTAGTCTCAGCTCCCCGATTCTACTTCACGCCGACAGTGTTAAGCTACAGCCAACTGTGACTTCCGAAACAGAATCAAGCGCACTACAAAGTGATCTCAGATTGCTTACAGAGTTGATGAGTATCAACAAACTGTCATTTAACCTGGATAAGTGTGAGCTACATTTCTCCACACCCATGGTTCTCAGGAAGTATCCTACTCTCACTGTAGTACGCATCTTCCCGCACGACCTGGAACCAATAGTGACTAGCAAGCTACATATCAGTTCCGGTTATTCAGGAGATGCCTCCAAAACACAACAAGTACCACAGTTCATGTGCAGACAACCCTAGAACTCTTTCTGGGGCCTAACGAGACATATGTACGACCCTACTTAAAGGTCCGCAAAGTTTCTGCACTACCATACCTGAAAAGAGATGCGAACCTCCTGGAAAAACTTCAGGGGTGGGCAACAAGGGGTGTTGTGGGAGTGTGGCAAAAACTACGCAAACACGCTGAAAGACCTGGGGTTATACTGTCTTAGTTACCATCAGTTGCGTGGTGGCTTAATAACGGCTTACAAAATGCTAGATAATCCATGTCACCCAGACAGTAGAATCTCACCGAGTGGTCATTGTGACGATCCTCATGGTAACCCAAGAAGAATCACCCATCAAAAGGCAAAAACCCGCGCGTGTTCACACTTCTTCTGCTTACTAGTTTTCAGCCACCAGAACTCACTACCCGCTTATCCACTTGCGATACGAACTAGGTAAATAAAACCAAACAGTTCCATCACAGCCAACCACACACGGAGTTCCTTGTCTCCCCACTGCGTCAAGAACTTGACTCGACCCTATACTTTCCTGCCAGGCGTCTCGCTTTCAGTTACCATATCTTACCAGTCACGTTACTATTTGTATTCCCATGCTCCGTCCTTCAATTTAACTGGCTACTTCTCCTCCCTCTGGTCCTATGAGCTAACTGCATTTATTAAGGCTTCCAGCATAGATGTCATTTTCGCTGAATCCACCTAGCTCTCTCCTCCCCTTTCGTTCTGCTTCTTTTCACCTTGTCTGCTCGCTCATCCTTCTCCTTGTTTACGCTGAACATCTTTTCATCCTACATTTTACAGTTACTTCCAACAAATCTGTGGCAGCACACCATCTGAGGAACCTATTTGCACAGCAGACCTCGAGCAAATCGTACAATCTCTGCAAAGTTAATCAACGCCCAACCACCCATTGGGCTAACCAGAGCTACAATAGGCGAGTAGGTAAACCTACTGCACCGGAATCCCTCCAAAACCTTCAGCCGTTCCGCCAGACCTGGAGGAGAGCCAGAAGATACCAGTTGGTTTACAGTAGCTCGCAAAAAAGCTACTGGATGTATGGCCCTGTGAGATCGACGTAACATCGGAGAGAGGAAGAACAGGGGGTCGATCCAGACGAAACTTGCGTGGAAGCTCGAGGCGAACCCCCAAAAACCTATATTGACTTATGGCAGGCGAAAAATCAGCCACACATTGCCGAGGCCTTTAGCACCAACTTCGATACGTAACTGAACACGTCTCTATCGAACCAAAATTGCCAACTGTCCAACCAACATTCACCGCCAGCACCACCAAATGCCGTATAGCCACCTGGAATAAAGGTAACTCCCGCTATGGTCCTCGAGAGACTATCAAAGCCCTGTGCAGGGAAATCACCAGGGTGTGATGACATCCGACTGGTTGTGTTGAAACAATGATCGAGTGCCCTGTGCGGTACCCTGTATGGTCTGTTTCAACATTGCTTAGTGCTATTCTGTCCCCCATCTCCAAAGGAGGAGACCGGTAGAACCCAAAACGCCACCGACCCGTAGCCCTTCTACCAGTGGTGTCGGAAGTAATGGAGAGCCTGGTAGACGACCATGTCAGATAGTACTTAGAAAGGAGGGGAGCACTTAGTGATGCTCAACACGGTTTCAGAAAGGGTAGGTCCCATGCCTCAAACATTCTGGCGGCAGGCGATGAGTGGATAGCATGCCGGGACCTCCTAATTCCTGTCCATGTTATCTTCCTGGATTTTACTGAGGCCTTCGACACACTTCCACACACCGTTCTTATTCACAGAATAGCAAGGTTGGGCATCGAGGGACAGGCGCTTTCATGGTTGCAGGACTATCTAGACGGTGGACAATTTTGCACGAAAGCCAACAGAGTTTGCTCGACTTGGAGGACATCAGCATCTGGTGTATCACAGAGGGCGATTCTGGGTCCGTTGCTATTCCTTCCTTTTGCGAATGACCTCCCACTGAATCTCAGCTCCCCAATACTACTTTACGCTGATGATGTTAAGATATGGAGAACTGTGACGTCAGAAACAGAATCACGTACACTACAAAGTGATCTCAGATTACTTGCAGAGTGGGTGGACATTAATGGACTTGCATTTACGCAGCAACGCACGGTTTGCGCTCATCCAACTTGGATGTGGACTAGGCTGACACGGCCTACCAACTCTGTACGGCCAACCGTTACTGAATACTTTTTAAAACCACTACCACTGGAAACTTGGCTCAAACCTATACCTCCCTATAGAAGTCTTCTCCAGTTACCGTATCTCACTAAAAGAATTACTATGTTCCCGCTCGTCCTATCGTGTTATTTATTCTTCTTCCTTCTGGCCTTACGTTCTCAAACTTTGACGAAAGCTCTCTCTACCACAAATTTAACCAACACCCAACCACCCGTCGGGCTAACCAGAGCTACAGTAGTCGTGTGGGTGGACCTACTGCATCGGAATCCACCAAAGACCTGGAACTGTTCCTCAAGACCTAGAAGCGAGCGCGAAGAAATTAATTGGTTTACACTAGCTCGTTAAAAAATATTGGATATTGGACTATTGAAAATTTTGGAGGCTTGTTCCTTCCAACGGTCGTTTCTGGAGGTTGTCACTGAATATTGCCCATTTGCACTTGTTGTCTAACTGCCTCAGCAGTTGGGAAAACTGTCTTTAAAAGAAGAATTACACGTTGAAGAAACGATAACTCTCAAAGACAAAGAGTCTTTCTTGTAATATAATAATAGTTGCACTATGTCTGCAACAATCCCCAGATCAAATTTCATGGTAAAATATGTATTGTCTTACCTTTGTTACTTAAGAACTACATATTGAGACGTGGCAAGTGTTTTCTGTCAACGTTCTGTCGACCTGAGTGTTCCGCGAAATTTTGCTTATCTGAATACAAGGTCTTCAAACTTGATACCATGCCGTCTCAAGAAACGGAGTGCACCCGTGATGATGCACTTAAATACCTAGACAGTCTTCATCGCATTCGTAGGATGGAAACGGCTTTAGGAAACATGTATAAAGAGAAACAAATCCGTGGATTCTGTCATCTTTATTCTGGCCAGGTCAGTATTTATTTGATTCCCATACGAGTTTATCATATTTTCCCCCTGAAAGGTATGTAGCATTAGTTGTTGTTAGAAGGTCCATTGAGCTACTACACAAGAATTAAGTAATTTGGTTTCACAAGAGAATAGTGTCTTAGAGTAGTTATCCCACTCTGTATATTTACTCTTCAGAGTTATTTATTTAGCTGACTCTTCTGGTAATTTCATTGAAAAGGCGTCGAAGTATATTTTTTTATTACCGAAATTATCGAAACAGTCTTCTTTGTATGGATGCTTCACGTCCTGAAATTATTAAATGGTGAGCTTTTCTACCCATTTGACTGCTTAAATTTAAACTTAGTGGAGACTTGTCATACGAGACTACCTTGCATTTGACAGGAAGTACAAATTAAAATATTTCATTTGTGTAGTATGAAAGATGCTTCACTAACCACTTCAGATGCTACTTACCTACCCAGCGGTTTGATTTTCAACCACGTGGTCACGAGTTCTAATCGTGCTCCACTTAACTATGGGTAGCCAGTTATTAGTTGTTCTCACACTATATGTGGTTCATTGCCTAATGTACGAGCGTAATTGTCGAATCGCAGCACTTGGTTACTACTTCGCAGAGCTGTGGCTCAGTGGTTGAGATAAGTCACGGGTTCGGAACCGTCCCCACTCACTGAGGTTCGGGCAGCCGGGTGATATCACTAGCCCCCACAAAATAGGAGTGGCTCATTGTCCACTGCACGCATTTGCACAAGGTAGCTGTGTGCGTTTCTTATTTTCTTCATCTTGGTTATTATTTCAGATGCGGAATTATACTATTTGTATACCATGATGAAAGATGTTGGCATTTGCGAGTTGTAGAGCGAAGAGACGCTTCACAACACTAGCCGGCTGTTTGCGTTTATATATATACTTATACTGGAGGCCTAAACTGACAGATGAGTCACTTGTTTTTTGTTAAGATAGTGGTACAGTAACTGCCGAATCAATGCAGAGCACAGTAAAATACAAAGACTGGCAAACGAGGTAGGCTGGTCACAGCTAATATAAATTTGTATTATAATTAAGGTTATTTGAACTTAGGGTTCCTAGTGGAACATAGGGCTTCAGTAGCACGTCTACATTCCACTCTGTTCTCTGCAGTCTTTTCAACCGGGCTCCACGACTGCCCAGAAGCTTTCATTTTTCCCTCACACGATCTCCTCCATATCACCCTCGGACGCCCAACTCGTCGTTTTCCCTTTAGATTCCACTCGAGGGCCCGGCACGTGATGTCCCCGAAGTTTTCTCATTGTATACCAGATCCATCTCCACTTTCTTCTGCTTATTTGTTGGGCAATAGGTTCTTGGTTGGTTCGTTGTCAGGCCAGAGTGAGTTCCTTATTGCTTATTCTTTCTGGCCATCTGATCTTCAATGTCGAGCGTAGGCAGCTGTTGATGTATGTCTGTAGATTGTTGGAAATGCTTTCCGTAACGCACCAAGTCTCTGAACCATATAGAAGCACTGAATTGAGTGGATTAGTATAGAAAATCCGGATGCTGTTCACCCTTTGTGCTGAGTGTAGTGCAGCAGATCACATTGATTTCAGATTAATGAAGACCTGTCTTGCTTTTCCTATCCTGGCCTTGACGTCCTCATCTATGCCGCCGCCTGTAGTTAAGATGATGCTGCCTAGGTAGATGAAGGAGACAACTTCCTTTAGATTTCTCCTGTTGATGGTGATTGGTGCTTGTTGTTGTTAGTTGAGTATCTTCATCACCTATGTCTTCTCTACGTTCAGCCGAAGACCCGTCTTCGCTGCTTCGCCTCTTCTGTTAACTTGTTGGTTTTCGCCTGTAGATCTTCGAGTTTGTGCGACAAGACATCAGACATAAATCATCATCGGCGACGAAATCCAAATCTCCTCTTCGGGTCTTTTCATCGGTCCAGCCAGCGTATACCCATCTTCTCACTCCTCACGGTTTGCTGCATGATCCAGTTCAGTCGGGTCAACCACAACCAGGAAGATCATCAGTGAAAGTAGGCGGGCAACCTTCTTTCACTCCTGTCTTCACTACAAAAGCATCACTGAGCTTCCCATTGTGAATTACTTGGTGTGTGCCATCTTCATATAGTTGTTGAATAAGATTGATAAAGGTTTGTGGTATTCCGTAGTGTTGAAGCAGTTGCTAAATTACTTGTCGGTCGACGCTGTCAAAGGCCTTTTCAAAGTCGATGAAGTTGAGGTAGAGGGTTGACTGCCATTCTATACAGTGTTCTATGATGATGTGTAGCATGGTGTTGCAATTTGGTCCGCACATGATTTGTTTATCCTGAAGCCAGCCAGCCTGTTCGGGTCGTAGTTTTGAATCCAGCGCATCCTTTAGTCTCTCCAGTATGATGCGGCATAATATTTTGCTCGGGATGGACAGAGGCATGGTTCCACACCAGTTCTTGCTAAGACTTATGTCTCCCTCCTTCCAATCGAAGGTACCTTTCACTCCTTCCAAATCCTCTGCAACAGTGATGTGAGCGTGTCCGCTGTTTCCTCTGTGTCTGTTTTCAGTGCTTGTTGAGGAATTCCTTCTGGTCCCACTGCTTTCCCTGCTTTCAGAAACTTTATGGCGTTCAGGACTTCGACTTTTGTTGGAGGATTTGTGTTCACTGATAGTTCTGTGACAGGGCTGCTGGTGGTATTTCTGAACGAGTTGCAGGTGGTGATGGTGGTCGATTCAAGCGTTTTTTGAGGTGGTCAGCCCATTGTTTCCTTTGTTTCTCCTCTTTGGTAATTATATTTCCTTCACTATCTTGCATTGGTTTCGTCTGCGTTGATCACTTCCCGGATAGTAACCTGGTAATTTGATATAATCTTGTCAGGTCTCTCCTACCTGCAGCCTGTTCTGCTTCACTTGCAAGTGTCTTTTGTCTTTCTGCGCACTGTTCTTCACTTCTTTGTCCAGTGTTTTGTAGGTTGTGTTGAGTTCCTCTTCTCGTTGTGCATCCCTGCACCGCACTAGTTTACCTTCTGTTTCACCATCCTCCTCTCCTCTATCAGCTTCCATGTGTCCGTCGAGATCCATTTCTTATCTTCTTTCTTCTTCCTTCCTAATATGGTTATGCAGGTTTCTTTCCACATAGCTTTCAAAGAGTTCCAGTGTTCATCCACACAGGTTTCTTCAGGGATGCTGCTCGATATCTCCCATTTTGTCTTGATGGGTGCCATGAAGATTTTCTTTGTAGATTTGTCCTTGAGTTTCTGTTTTGGGTGTTGAACTTGAACTGTGGTCTATCATCAACTTCTTTGAAGGCTTTCAGCCTGATTTTGAGGGTTGCTTGCACTAGGTAGTGAGTGATGTGAACCTACATCTGCTCCCCTTCCTGATCTTGTGTCCAGTCGGCTGCGTCTCCACTTTCTTGAGATTGAGATGAATTCGATCTGATTTTTAGTGTGTCCTGGTGTCTGGTGAAATCCATGTCGCTTTGTGAATGTCATTGTGTTTGTACACACTGCCTTAAATCACCAAATCGTTGAATGCGCAGAAGTCTGCAAACAGTTCTCCATTCTCATTCTTCATTCCACCAAGTGCTTCTCGACTCATGACAAGTTCTCTTCCTGTGTTGTCTGTACGGAGTTTGGCATTCACGTCGCCCATTAGAATTTTGATGTCGTCATCTGGAGTGGGGTCTTGTCTGTTACTGATTGCAGTTGTCTATAGAATCCCTCCTTCTTCTCTTGATCTGCATCATTTGTAGGTGCGTAGCGTGGGATTGATTGTATGATTGTAACTTTCCTTCCTTTTGATTTGCTGTCATGATACAGCAGGAGGAGATTGGTTCCCACTGCATGAGAGTCTTCGATGCTCTTGGGGAAATCATGATTGCCACTCCAAAACTCAATGTGCTCGTGGTTGTCGTCTGGTTGGCAATACTGGAGTAGATTATTGACTCTCCAGTTAAGAGTTTGGAGAGTCCACTTCCATTCCATCTGTTTTTTTATAGATTCCTAGCACTTCTATGCTATACCTTCTCATCTCCTTTGCAATCTAGATGGCCTTGCTAGGTTCAAACATGATGCGGATATTGCATGTCCCTGCGTTTATTTTCGCTTTGATCGAGAGAAGAAATATCGATCAGTTGGCTTCCTGAAAGCTTTCACCGATCGGCTTCCTTTCGCCACTCCGATTCCAGCGAGGAATAATTTTGTCTTTATTTTTAAAAATATTTTGCTTGTGCTTTGCAGTTTCTTTAGCGGTTGGATTGGTTCTATGGGGTAGGGTTGCTAGCCCTATGCCCAACCTTTCCTCTTTATTTGGGCTTGGGACCGGCTTTTTACTATTAAGCGAATTAACTAGGCGAGGTTATTATGTATTAGTAGGGTTAGCAGTAGTAGTAGTTAATTTATTGGTGACAATAAATTTGATAGTGATGTGGCTTATGGGTGGGAACACAAACAGTGGATCTGCGTCCCGAATTCCACTGTAACTCATGTCCTGGTTACGGTTGATTTACGTCCTCTCGAAATGCGCCTTAGTGGTAAACATCGGCGTGCCATTGAGTTGCAGCTTCTAATAAATGGATGTAAAGTGGAGAAAGCAAACAAAAAAATGTGATAGTGGTTTCCTGTTCTCAAAGCTTTGCTATTTTGTTATTTTGCTATTTTCGTTTCATCACCAGGCTGTGTGTAAGAAACGATCAGACTGAGACACAGAAAGGAATGTTTATTAAGATCTTGTACAGTAGTGATAAAATATTGTACACTTTCCACAAAAGTCATTTGTGCAGTGTGCTTCATTTCCTCTTCTGCTTCTATCTCTATTTGCTCCCAATACGCCCGCATTGTTTCTTGCGTTTTTCCGTGCAGAATGTTTACCCATCGCTGGTAATTGCTTATGATTTCTTCTGCCTTCTCAACTTATACTACGTATATCCATTCTTATCAGTAGTACCCATCAAAGTGACACTAAGAAGTGAAGCACATTCGAATACTACACAAATATTTAGACTTTTTATTAACCCTGGGCGTTGT